GCGCCCTCACCCCCAAGGGTCGAATCTCCTGCCTCCTTGCCACTGATTTTTCCCAGCAGCCCCAGCTGCTGCTTGAAAATCAGACGGTCGTTCCTTATTGAGGACAAGTGCCTTTTCTGGAAAACCCCGCGTTGCACATGTGTGCCCTACTGTTTGCTGCTAATGCCTCGGCAGCTGATGTAGGTGCAAAAACCCAGCTCTGCCATCTGCATGTTTGCATAGCTGGAGCTCTGCGTGGTGAAATAAACACATGTTTGCGGTCCTGCAGGAGGGTAAACACTGCAAGCGTCGTCGCTCAGTTTTCAGTGACGGGCAAGAACATCCTGTACACAAGCCACATATTAAATGCAGCGTTGGGGTGCAAATCTCGATACACGGCTTGACAGTGAATTAGCCCCCAAACCAGCCCTAACTCTCTTTCCTATACCTGGATTACTTATGACTAGTGTACGTTTACTTAGATGTTATCCCTGAATATGAGAGACTGAATCCCAGGTTCTGTGGAACCGGTAACCGGAAACGTCTGGCTTTTGTACGCTCACAGTTCTTGTATTCATCTCTTTCAGATGTGTAGTTTTTTTCCTCATTTTTACGTTTCGTTGCTAGTTTGTCTGCACGCTCAAATGAGCTGCAACGTCAGCAATAGGAAACAAAGGCAGTAGTTCTTTTGCTCCATGTAGAAATACAGCCGATTCCAAGGCTCCTCTAATATATTCCATAGGTGCACACGGGACATTTAGTAAAAACAAAGGTAGTTAGAATCTCCATGAAGAAAATTAGAAAAAGTAGTGACAAATTGGCATTCAGATTGAGATGCAGTAATGTATGTTCATGTAAGCAATTCTGACTCATGGAGGCATTTTCAGCGACTTCAGTGAGACTATTTTTGCGTGTCAGGACTGCTGCCACAAGAAAAGGCTGAAGCAAGGGAGTCTTTAATTCTGACATTTGTAGGACACCAATTCCCCTCTCTCTAAAGTTGTTCACATTTGGAGCATGCGACGTGTGGCTGAGTGATGGCAGGAAAAACACTTCTCATCAGGCCTCCCATTCTGCACAGAATTTCATTTTGTGTTCTTTTATAAATGTCTTTCAAGAGAATCTAAAATAAAACTGCACTGAGGCACCTTCTCTATCATGACAATAGAAGGAAAATTACATCTAGCCCTTCTGGGAGGAGGCTGGGGTCGTGCATTTGTGTAGCTACAGCTGTGACACATGACAGCACACCGCAGTTTTGGCTGGATAAATGGGTGGGCTACAGTCCACTCGGCGTCCCTTCCTTTTGTGTCCGTTTATAGTTCATTCTGTTTGTTTCCTACACTGTTAAAAATTCTGTAGAGTGAATGCCTAAAAATTGCAGTCAGGCAGAACTTCAGTATGTAAAACAAAAGCAAAAGCAGCGTGAGGAGAAATAGGGTAAATTGGTCCCAAATAGTGGGTTGCAAGTATTAAGACTCAGCCTGTAATTATGTTTTAGATCAGTCAGAAATTCATATTTGGGGGAGAGGGGTCTTAAAATTGTTAGAAATCTGCTGTAGTCTGTGGGTGCTTTTCATGCAATGCAGTGTGCTTTAGATTTTGAGAAGGAAAAGTTACGGACTACTGAGCTGAGGTCTACAGTACTGAGACTAAAGCTGCAGCATTAGCAAACATTTTCATTTCATCCTTACTCAGGAAATCCAGTTATAACTGAAAAAGCCAGCTGATTTCCGTCTCTCAGCTACAGAAGCCATTCCCAATCAGTAGATGCTGAAAGGTTTACTTCTCATAGGTCCAGATAGTTTTGGATGGCATGTAGTGTATTCATGTTATGAAACATAAAAAGGAAAAGTGATAACCGAATGCATAAGCATACAGATTTTGCTAGGGAGTTGTACTAAACTGCACGTATAATGCAAAAATGCTGTGTAAGAAAACAAAGTAACTTCATTACAAGTTCTACTGGCATAGTAGAAAATAAAGTAGAATACGTAAAAATAAAATCGCTGAAGCATATGTTGAAACATGAAACATGCTGAACTTAGTGAAATCCCTCTGCTAGGTGTAGAATATGTTCAGGTTTCCCAAAGACAATAGCTAAACAGAAACATAAAGCTTTAGGAGAAAGATGGGAAAAGAAACCAAAGTGAACAACACTAACAGATTACCCAAATAATAAAATGCCCTCGCCAGTCATTTTTCTTACCTGGTTTGTCATTAGGATTTGGCGCAGTTCGTTCTTAAGATCAATAAACCGATCGTGATAGATGGCCATGGACCAAGGTTCCCTGAAGTAGCTGGTTAAAAAAGAAGAAATTTAGTTATCTTGTGAACCTCTCATTAACCACTAATAAAGTATTTACCTGCTTTTTTGCCTTTATAAATTACAGTTCTGGACCCATCATGATCGTTTGTTCATAAAATGCCTCCCGTAACAGCATGGTCAATCAATTCTTTTAATGGATGTTCCTGATGTACAGCCAGCTTCAGTAATTACATTTAAAGTGGCTTAATTCAGAGCTGTGGCAAGACCCAGTGAAGAATCCTGATTTTATCAGAATTTAAAAGCCCGAAGACCTGCAAAGAACGGTGTCTCCATTATCTGTCCTCATTTGAGAAAAGCAGATTGCAGGATTAACTGAACTGCTGCATAAACAAATTAAATTTGTGTAGACAATGACACAAATGTTGTTCATCATTAAGGTTTCTGGATTAATAAAGGCCAGAAAAACAGGCCACCATGGTGTTGCAATATGTTCTTTGCACTAGCGCACTGACGGTAAATTGAACCCGTTCTAGGAGGAAGCTCTTGTAACTTTAAGTTTTTCTTTCAGTGCCAGCATTCGTGACAACGTTCTCCTGTGAAAAAGTGGCAAAAGGACTGAGCAGACAGGACTGGATGTAAAACCTCAATGCTCCAGCCATATCTGAGAGCAGCTAGATTTCAAAGCTGTGGTTTATTTCTGTTTCCTCTAGAACAAAAAAAATAATTTTTACGGTTTCAGTAACGTGTTAATGCAGATGCTCTGAACGTGTGTGATTCTTGTTAATGCTAACTGGAGTTAGGAGGTGCAGCGCGTTCATCCCAGTCATGCCTGCACAGATGCCAGCGGGGTCACTCGGAGCAGCGGGAGCGAGGAAGGCAGGGCAGGCTGGCTGTCCCTGCCTTTGGCAGAGTAGCTAGCGCCGTCCCTGGCACTGCTGTGAGGAAGCCTACGCTATCGCTTGATTCAGATGCGTGTTCTTTAAATGAGCAACGGGATAAAGCAAATGAAAAGGAGATAAACAAGTTCAATAGGAATTTTGACATTTCTGTCTCTCCAGAAAACTGCTGTGCAGTTTCCTTTTAGCACAAATGATGGGTTTTTTTTCCCCCCAATAATGTCAAATTGTATTATTTTCTCCTTCCTGCTCTTCTCGGAATAAAACTTCAGCTCTTGCTAATGCCGCACACTTTACCACCCCACTAGGTACCTGGCAGGGCATTGCAATTTTTTTTTTTTTTTTACATACTCATCCCTTCATGTGCTGTTTTTCCCCTCCCCGCCGTGCTCTTCACCTGTGTTTCTCCTGGTATCCTGAGCTCTCGGGGCAGGGGCTGCCTCTCTACTAGCCTGCTACACTAACCAGTACAGTGGGACTCCCTCTGTTAGATGTTTCCCTAGTGTAAATCGTTACTGATACTCTTCTAAATCCTGTGTTCTTGTTATGGCAGATGCTGTCCAGCCCAGGAGCCTCTAGCAGCAGGCTGGCAGCGTGTTACCAGGACTGAGATCACCTATTCATTTGGATGTTAGAAAGGTTAGAAAAGATGAGCTCAGCTCTAAGTATCAATACTTAAGTAATTATATACCTATAATATGTACAGAGAGCTAGAAAAGGATATTCCCCAAATATTTAAACAAACTTCAATTTCAACCCCCCTCTCCCCCCGAGCCAAACCTTTGACTTACTGTTGATAGTAGATACCAAAGCAGGGAAAAGGGGGTGGGAGGTTACGTACTAGAAAACATGAAGATAATTAAAGACTCTGTACTATTACTGATATGCCCTGCTAAAAGCCATGTTCTGCTGGCCAAACATTTTGTTTTATCTCCTCAAGCTAGCATGTTAGTTTTAATTCTGACTCTGAGAGTGATTTCATCTCTCGATTGAGGCAAATCTTTTAACTGCGTTACCTTAATTAAGTTTTTACCTACCTCACTGAGATGTGAGTATGAAATGATGTTTATAAAATGCTTTAGGGATGCTATGTATTATTGCCGTCATTACTAGTTCGGCCGATAAAGTGCAGCTTTAACTGTTCATCTCGGTGTTCCCAGATTTGGAGTTTAAAACCTGATGTTTGTCACCAGTTTACAATATGGGACGCAAATAAAATGCCCTTATTTGGGGAATGGAAAATGTCTGCATTTTCCAGCTAGTCTGGCAAGAGGAGCTATCAGTAAGCAAACATTTACTCCCACATTTCCTTTACTTCCCTTCACCTGAAGAAACATAACCACCAAAGACAATTTAAAGATACAAACAGTTCACTTTCTTTACTGGCTCTGCATTTTTATCTATTTATTTTTTAGATCGAATCTCCTTTCTAGCGGAACACGTGGTGTTTTGGAGAAAGCAGATCTACATATGGCTGCTAAAGTGAAGTTTAATAATGACAAAAAAAAATGAAGCAAAACCAACAAGTTGACATTCTGAGGCTCATTCTGAATTTTATTACCACTTCAACAGTAGTCCCTCAGGGCAAGCTGTGGAAGGCTTGAAAGTATAATGCTCCTCAGTATACAAGATGGAGCTGGCATGCTACCAACAGAGGCTCAAAGGCTCCTCAACTATCATGAGAACGGCATCTGCCACATGTGTTCGCACCATTTAGTCTTTCACAACCTGCCAGAGTGATCAGGCTAAATATGTACAAGATGACAATGTTTGCCAGGAGCATAACGGGTTTTTCAAACTTGGTCACTTCCTAACGGGGGATCCCCTGCTGGTAGACTTTTATGTCTACAGAAGCTATCATTGGAAGGCATTTGTAACTAGATGGGATGAAATGGTCTCCTTTTGAAGACAATAACTGACATCCTTTTTGTTGCTAGGAAGCTGTTCTCGCCTTTCATTGACAAACAATATTTAAAGTCTGTTCTGCCTCATTTGTGATATGTAGCCTACATTAGATGAAAGGGAAGAAGGAGGAAAATATTTAGTGGCATCTTTCCCTTTTAGAGATACAGCATTAAAAAAAAAAAATGCATGAAGTTGGCCACTGCGAGCAAACAAAAATGGAATATGCATGCAGATGGATTTCAGTCTGAGAGCTATCTATATTTATTCTCCAGACTCTCATTTAATTTGCAACGACACACCACTTTCACAGCACAGCATTTTTGTCTATATAAAAGCTAATTATGAAGCTGCAGTACTTCTCTGATGCATCCCGGCGCTCCAAAGCAAGGAGAGTGAGAACTTGCCACTGACCTGTGGCAACATTGCCGTCATGTCAGTCAGTTGTAACAGGCAGGAGCTCTATCACTGATTCTAAAAGTTGAATCGAAAACCTCAAGAGTAACACACGCAGTTCTTATGACAACAATAAAAGGCAAGAAATAAAGTTTTACAAAATTATCGCAGGAGGGGGAAGAGGAAAAGTCCCACAGGAACGAAGTAATGACAGAAGGGTGAAGACTTCTATCCTAGTAGACACGAGCCTATACCATTTGCAAGCTCGGCATAACTGTAATGCTAATACAGACCAGTTTTACCACACCACTGTAAGGTTTTCCAGACTTCTGCAGTTTGGGTTTCCCTTCATGAAAATGAAACAAGACAAGGCCTGAATAATTGCCATTCATATTATATCATATCATTTCATATCAGATGTGCTTATGAGGATTGTTGCCAACTGTGTTTTCTTGTCATTATGTTTTTCATATTTGATACTTTTCTTGAAAAATCTCAGCTACTGAAATCCTGGGATCGTCTCAAAAAAATGACTAGTGGAAAGAGAAACTCAAAACAGTGATATGAACATGCTAAAATGGCAAAAAAACCAGAAACCAAATTTTAAAAAGGTTTCATTTTCTCCTTGCTTTTTATGTGAAAGTAAATCTCATTATTAGCCTAAAAATAGCATTTTTCTTTTTAATATGAGGATGGTAATATGTTTTTAATTACTTTCATTCCCTTTCTTCTGTGAGCCAGATGACAGCAGAGATAACTGGTGCCACCGTGCCTAGGCCTGTGGGCACACCTTGTGCACTGGGAAACGCAGATCTGGTGGCTCAGTAAACTCCTGTAGAATAATCCCTTCCTGCAGGTGAGCTTATTAAATTACCAGGACTTGTGACTGCTATTCTCTAGAGCAGAATCCAGTGAAGAGAATTTTAACTATGGGCCTAATCGGCAGGACGTTCTCTACCGCCTTTTCTTATGCTGTCGGTAACCTCTTTCTGCCCTGAGACTGGGATGAAGGGGAGGGGGGATTTTCGAAAGCTCAGAGGGTAGGTGGGCGCCAGTTCCTTGTGGTGACGCCTTTGAAAAATCCTCCCACAGAATACTGTTGCATTATTAACTACAGCTTTTGACGATACTATGTCTGTTCCTGGTGTTCTTTTGCTACCTAAAGCTTTTATGGAAACTACAATAATAAAAACAAACTCAATTTCCTTGCATACCTGGCAGTGCCACTGTTTCACATGCACGCATGCGCGCACACGCACACACACACGCGCACACACACACATGCACATGTGGGAAGAACGTAAGTTCAGAATTTCAGACAATCTACGAAGTGGTTTGAATCTGTAATTTTTGTTACAAAGTGTTAAATGTCTCTAAGTCATCAGGATTAGTATGAATCTCTTGAAATCTGAGGAATCTATGTTCATTTCTTAATAAAGCAGTCTAAAATTCACTAATGACTTGGCTTGCGTTCCAGTAAACTCCATAGGACTCTTTTCAAAGTTGTATTTTCTACCATCTAGCACTGTAAGGGTATGCACATGCAGTCAGTTGGTTGTCAGAGCAGCACCCAGCACTGCCTCTGTGCTTGTCCTCAAGTCAGCAGTAAGAGGAGGACATACTTTTCTAAGTCTTGCCAGTCAAAAGAGCTATCTTGAGTCCAGCATGGATTATCCTGTGCCATTTTGCTTACGCTGTGGTAACTCTTAGATCTGTGGCAAAATATCCATTATTCTGGGCAGCTTACAGATGCAGAGTAAAAAATACTTGGCCTGAATAGCTTGTAATCTGAGTATGCTACCAATGTGCTGAAGACACGGTACACATCAGCCTAATA